GACTTGGGAAGTCTCCTGCTTTGTTGTATCAGAATAATTTAGGTTAGTTGAGGTCCATCAGAGTCACACAGTCAGTAGTAGGAGCAGGACTTGAATATAGGTCTTCTGACCCAAGATCCACGTTCTTTTCACAGTGCTCTTCTCCCTCTTATGTGCATATCTAGGGAAGTGTGTGGAGTGAGGGGGTAATTCTCCCTGGGGGCCTGATGGGGACCAGCCTAGGACCAGCAGGTGAGGAGCCTTGTGCATCCCTTAGCTGGACCAGCTTGAGATGGTGGGTTTTCAGGTCCTTTATTTCTTGGTAACTGTGTGATGTTCTTTTTTTCATTTTCAAAAATGGAAACGAGTATTTTTAACCCCCAATTGTGATTTTTTAAAGAGACCAAAGTCCAGCATCCAGAGATAGCCTTTTTAAAAAAATTGATGTTAAATTTTTCCAGACTTTTTAATTCTTGTGTCTACATTTACATCCCTCAGTATTAGTTAATAAACTAAAACCCACAAACAGAATCACATGGTACATTCTGTAGCTGAATGATAAATACGTCACTTATCTATAGGTATGGATTTAATGAACATTTTAAACACATTTGAAACACAATAAAACGTGGGTGGGCTGCACATCCCCACCAGGAGGAGGCGAGACTGTCCCTCCTGACCCTGGAGAGGACCCCCAGAGCTCTGCACCTGGAGCGCTCTGGACTCCCTGCCATGCAAATCTTCCTTTGCTTTTACCGTTAATATGTATCCTTTCACTATGATAAAACGGTAATCCAAAGTATAGCACTTTGCTGAACTCTGTGAGCCTAGGGGACGCCTGAACTTGTAGTCTGCTGGTCTGAAGTGAGGGTGGTCCCGGGCACCACCAGACTTGTGGCTGGGATCCCAGGGGAGAGTAGTCTTTTGGAGCCTGGTCCATCTAAGTCCGGGTTTGACTGAAACCACTGCACACCCATATGTGGAGTGTATTTTGGGTGTCAGTATTGCTGTTTATGAAGTATTTGTAATAGTGTGGAAAGACAGTTATTTGTGAAGGACAAGTAATTGATGAGTCAAGATATACTGGATGATGCTCTAGTATGAAATCCTCATGTAGAGTTCTTGTGATTGTTCAGTTTTTCTCTCACACCACAAGCCTCCAGGGCGGGCAGAGGTCTGCACTGACATTACTCACCCTGGACCGGCTCTGCCACTTGGGAGCTCCTGATAGTCAGCTGTCTATCACTTCAGTCTGCTGGCTTCCTGCCCTTCATTCATTAAAAGATTTGGTTCTGATCTGCAGTGGGACAGGAACATGTCTCTCAGTGTTAGTGTAGAGCCGCTGGGGTGCATTTGGGGAGTAACTGTGTGCTCTGTAATCGGTAGTGGGGTGAGTGTAGGTGATCTTACTTATCCTTGGTGGTGATGACAACGTTGAAAACCTTAGGGATTTTCCTTAGGGAACAGGCTGAAGAATCCTGTGGTCAGTGTCAATTATGTGACTTCTCCACAGTCTTCACAGGCATATAGGATAATTCTTTGCTGCTGCTGCTGCTAAGTCGCTTCAGTCGTGTCCGACTCTGTGCGACCCCTTAGATGGCAGCCCACCAGGCTCCCCCGTCGCTGGGATTCTCCAGGCAAGAATACTGGAGTGGGCTGCCATTTCCTTCTCCAGTGCATGAAAGTGAAAAGTGAAAGTGTAGTTGCTCAGTCGTGTCCGACTCTTCGCGACCCCCTGGACTGCAGCTCACCAGGCTCCTCTGCCCATGGGATTTTCCAGGCAAGAGTACTGGAGTGGGTTGCCATTGCCTTCTCCGAATTCTTTGCTAGTGTGGGATTATTCATTCATTTTATTGAGAAAGTATTTTAGAGCTGGTTTCCAGGAGTGCAGGATGCTTGCTTTAAAGAAGCTTGTTATTCGGGAGAGGTGAGAACTGTGTGGAGAAACATCCCAGTAGCTTCAGCAGAGTAGCGCATGTGGATCTAAAGTCAGCACAGTGAATGGCAGGATTGTGTGGTTAACTCCATGAAAGAAAATGTGTGTGTGTGTGCTGGGGTGGGGGGGTTTGCAGTAGATCATGGGGGGAGGGTGATGATCACAGTGGGCAGAGGAAGGAGGGTCCAGGCTGGGGAAGAGCCTCAGAGACTTGAAGTAGCTCATTTTGTTCAGAGAGTTAAGCAGTGTGGCGTTTGGGAGTGAAACCTGGGGAGGGGAAGAGAGGAAGAAGCCATACAGTGTCTGCCGTTTTACTGCACTGTCTGGGCTTGGATCCTGTGATATTACTGAAGCCCTGATTTCTTAGTTTCCTTATCTGTGAGGTGAGGATGATGATAGTATCCCTCTTAAAGGATTCTGTGTCTGTGTGAGTATTAGTTGCTCAATCATATTTGACTCTTTGCATTCCCATGGACTGTAGCCCACCAGGTTCCACTGTCCATGGGATTCTCCAAAAAGAGCAGGTTGTCATACCCTGTCTCCAGGGGAATCTTCCTGACCCAGGGATCGAACCTGGGTCTCCTGCATTAGCAGGCAGATACTTTACCATCTGAGCTGCCAGGGAAGCTCAGCTTAAAGGATTCTTGTGAGGATCAAATGAAGCATTTCATTTAGTGACGTGTTTATTAGAACAGTGACCTAGAGCACAGTAAATACTTATGAATGGTGGCTGCTGCTATGAAGGTCATCCTGATGGTGGTTGGTGTTCAGGAGCAGAACCACAGTACGCAACCCGCCCCCCGCCCCCTGTCCTCCTTGAGGACAGTGGGAGGATGCTGAGGGAGGTGAGGGGTTGAGGATGCAGGGAGCAGGTTGAGAGACTTTTGTGGAGGTCAGAGACAAGTGAGGGCTTCATGAACACAGGAGCCTCAGGAGTCAGAGTCGGTGGTCAGTAGACAATAAGACTACTACTAACTGGATTGTTACTGCTGTTTACCTACCTATGAGGAAGACAGGATGGTCTGTAAGACAGCACGTGAGAGGGGGTTTGTTGTTTCCATCAGTAAAGAGAGGTTTTAGGTGACAGAGCTGTTGGGGGTGGGGCTGTATAGAGAACTCGGGTCTAGGGAGGCGTGCAGGTGGGTTTGGTCATCAGCAGTGGTGCCACGGGAGGTGGTGGGGTCCCAGCCAGACACTGGGGAGGAGGAGCAGCCGCCCAGCAAGGGCACTTCCTGTCTGCCTAGTGGTGTGATGGTCTCTACTCACTGTGTTCCTGCAATGCCTCTGTGAGATTGGTACTGTATGTGAGAAGTACCACAGTCCTAGCTGTTGGAAACACACAGACATATTATTATTCCACATTTGCTGGGTGCTCTGTCTCAGGATACTCGGTGATGGTCTCTGGCAGGGGTGGGGTCTTGTCTGATGTTCAGCAGGAATTGTCGTGCTTGTCAAGAACCAGCTCCTTGCAGGTTCGTGAACAGAGGCTTCTTGCTGGCTCTGGCTTCCGTTTTTTGCCACGTGGGCCTCTCCATATGACAGCGTGTTCTGTGAAGCTGGCTGGTGGGAGCGGTCAGCTGGCAAGGTGGAGGTTATGTTGAGGAGGTGCTATCGTGTAAATGACCTCCTGTTACCTTGGCCAAGTTTCAGTGGTTCCAACAGATCCCCAGGCCCTGCCCATGTCCAAGGGGCTGGCTTTGAGGCTTGGGGCTGTGGTACCCTTATTCCTCTTGTACAGAAGAAACTGTAAGTATTACATATACAAGTAGTGGGGACCATTGTGTATTAAAGACAGAAGGGGCTGTAGGCTTCGACAGTGTTGGGGCACTCTCTGGGGACTTTGTGTGATGTCTTCTAATGGGATGGTCTAGGTTAAGGCCGTGTGCTTGTGGTTCAGTGAAGAAGAGTAGAGATCACTCCTTCAGAAGAGCATGCTGTTGTTATTGTTGAATTATTTCTCTCTATAATAATCCAGAAATTTTTCTTTTCTAGTTCACTGAGTTTAACCAGTAATGCCATTCAGTTGCCAATATCAAGCAAAGCAGACATAAGCCACTTGTAATCTGCTTCTTAACAACAGTGGTAGTCCTTTTAACAGTGCCTGCCGGTGAGTCACAGTTCCTGCCTTTATAATGGAGTTTTGATCTAATGCATTTAAAATAATGATTTTGGAAACATTAATTTTAAAGCCTTGCTTCCTTTTCCCTTCTTCCCTCATAATTCTACTCTAAGCTTATGTGGAAAGAGCATAAAGAAAGATAGCTACTAGTTTCTGAAAATTTAGCTTTTCAGAAAGAAAGTCATCTTTCATTACTTACATTGATCTTGGGGATTTTTACCTTTAGTTAAAAAATAAAATACTATCTCTTGACATCTGCCCCATTATTCATAGATGAGGAAGCTTTATTTATATGTAGGGTTTTGACTTGGATAACTGGGTAATGGCAGAGTTGGTTTAAATATTCAGATATCCTATGCACTTTCTGCTGTTCCACAAAGTGATGAGCTCTTAGGGCCAGTGTTTCTTGTGTGGAGTGTTTCTAGCTCAGCGCGGAGGTGGAACTTGGATTAATCAAGTCTGTCCCTCCTGTTGCAAGTGGTGGCTATTATTTGCTGTTAGTAAGTTTAACCTTAAAGCTATTTTTTGTTGTTGTTCCAAGGAAGAAGTGGGGGGAACTTTTGGAGTTAGAAAAATGTTTGACCACATTTTAAATTTTTATTCTTAATGTTGTGTGGTACATGAGAACAGTGTGAAATATACACTTAGCTGTTCTAACTCCTGGCCTCTTTCTTCCTGAAATCAATTATTTTTTTTTTCATGATATTAGTTATGCTTCTCATTAGCCTCATTACTGTTCATTATTATTTTTTAAGCACAAGGTTTACTGAATTGTCCAGTTAGCTATGTTAGACATCAAATCCTATTTTGTTTTTTTGTTGCTTGTGTATTATAACTGTTCTCTGTCTTATGGGAACATAACCACATTTATGCATGTGTTTGTAAATTGACCAGTTCTCTTGTCTGTTTCTTTCAGTAACTGTATCAGAGTGTGAGGTATAAGCTTACAGAATCCAGGAAACCATCATGAAGTTGTATGTATTTCTGGTGAACACTGGAACCACCCTGACATTTGACACTGAACTTACAGTGCAAACGTGAGCTGTGTTTTCCTTGATTCTCATCAGTTCTGCATTTTGTACATGTAGAAAGTTAAAGATTTGATTTTGAAGATACTGTTCCTTTGTTAAATAAGAGTGGCAACATGGAAAGTCTTAAATCTTTTGTCCTCATTGTTTACATGTACAGTTGTCATCTTTCTCTAAAATGTTAACATTAAATTTGTTAAGTTGTGCTTTGTTGTTTGTGTGACTATATTTTCACAGTAAACACATTGATTTCAAACCAAAGCAGTCTAATAGAAGTAAGTTTTCATGGCTGATTGTTCTCCTGAATTTCACAGTGCACTGCTGAGGGGATTGTTGCTAGCTGTATAAGCCAGCATATACCAGTCCTATGGTTTTTCATCATTGTTTTTATTATTTTACATGAATAAAGCCAGTAGTGTTTGTTTTGTTAATGACAGAGTAAAATTTGGGATAAACCTTATCTTTTTTTAATGGATGAAATTACTTTTTGAAAGTTCTTGTTTTATAAAATATGATTTGACTTGTAATTGAATGGTTTTTTGAAAGATAAGAAAAAAGGAGCAATTTTCATGTGGTATCCACTTAATGTGTTTTATGTAATGGGATGTCTGTTGAACTCTCCACATCACATGAGGATTTTAACAAACGCTAATATAAGCAGCGTTGCTAGTTATGTAAAGATCACAGAATTAATATTTCTGCTGGCTGCACTTCATGGGCTCAGCATTAGATGTGGCACATGGGTGGTTTACTGACCTTGTAGTTGTTTATGATTGGCTTGTTGATTGTGGAATCCAGTTGCAGAAACAATAAGCTTATATGTCTTACTACTGTTTGGGGGAAGCTTTTTGATTGAAGTTCATTTGTCAGATATTTTTACACAGAGTGACTTTGATAATGAGAAAGGCCGTCCTCAGGCAAATGTAAATAACGGATTTTGCCCCCTCCCTCTCTGAAGTGTGGCTGACCTGAAGCATGCAATCCACAGCAAGTACAAGATCGCCATTCAGCACCAAGTGCTGGTGGTCAACGGGGGCGAGTGCATGGCTGCCGACCGCAGGGTGTGCACCTACAGCGCCGGGACGGTAGGTGCCCGACCTCCTTGACGCGGGCGGGCTCCAGCTTTCCAGCGGCTGGGAACTGGGGTCTGACTCCTACAGAGGGCAGTGTGCATATTCTGTGTCTGTATAACAGTTTACTTCAGTTCTTCTTTGTTTTTGTTTTTTACTTCTCTAGGACACAAATCCAATTTTTCTTTTTAACAAGGAAATGATCTTGTCTGAGCGTCTACCTGCTATTCCTAAAACTACCTTTTCAACAGAAAATGACATGGAGATAAAAGTTGAAGAGTCCCTTATGATGCCTGCCGTTTTTCACACTGTTGCTTCAAGGACACAGCTTGCAGTGGTAATTATAATATTATTTGTACTTCAGTTCAGTTCAGTTGCTCAGTTGTGTCCAACTCTTTGTGACCCTATGAATTGCAGCACTCCAGGCCTCCCTGTCCATCACCAGCTCCCAGAGTTTACTCAAACTCATGTCCATCGAGTTGGTGATGTCATCCATCCATCTCATCTTCTGTCGTCCCCTTCTCCTCCTGCCCCCAGTCCCTCCCAGCATCAGGGTCTTTTCCAGTGAGTCAAGTCTTCGCATGAGGTGGCCAAAGTATTGGAGTTTCAGCTTCAGCATCCGTCCTTCCAATGAACAGCCAGGACTGATCTCCTTTAGGATGGACTGGTTGGATCTCCTTGCAGTCCAAGGGACTCTCAAGAGTCTTCTCCAACACCACAGTTCAAAAGCATCAATTCTCCAGCGCTCAGCTTTCTTCACAGTCTAACTCGCACATCCATGTATGACCACTGGAAAAACCATAGCCTTGACTAGACAGACCTTTGTTGGCAAAGTAATGTCTCTGCTTTGTAATATACAGTTTAAAGTTTAAAACTGGTGTATTTAACAAAATAATGATTGGTAATGTTTTTGTGGACAATTAGGCAACAGCAAATGATCTAAAAAACTGATTACTTCTAAAAGCATTCAAATCTAAATAGCATAGCAGTCTAAATTATAGAAGCATGCCCAAAACATGAAAAATAGCAAACTTTTTGAAAAGATAATTTTGTGATGCCTCTGTCTGGTTTATAATTTCAGGTGCACACTTTGTTAGTCATTCTACAGTTACAGGACCTTAGCGCAGAACAACTATCTGAAAAATTTGTTTACCATTTTTCCTTGAGGATGATATGCAGATGATAACTTTAGAACATTGCTTGAATCATTGAAATTCTGTGTTCAGGTAGACAGACACAGGCAGAGAGCTTAAGGAGTGTGGTTCTTTCTTGTATCCATGGTCAGGTCCTGGAGGAGAACCCAGTTTCTTCCTGACACATATTTGTATTGCTGCTTGCAAACCCTATGGGTTGTTTCCCAGTCATTTGGTTTTGGTTTTGTTTGTGTTTGTTTTTGACTTGCTAGTACTTTGCTGTAACACTAGCTGTAAGCTATCAGCAGGGGGACACATTTTGCTTTCAGACATAAAAAATGTCTTAGAATCAACCAATAAGTATTTACCTTATGAAAATAAACTAGTAAAATAATAAACTACTAATAAGTATGAATACTTGCTTTCTGAAATATATTTCTTAGCAATCTGTTTTAATGCAGTACATGCATTTGTGAAACTGACTCATTCTTCACATGAGATGCAACATAAAAAAGAGAACCTCATCTCTCATCTTTCTGAAATATGTTTAATAAACATTAAAGGGTCTGGAAATGATTTTTAGAAGGCAGCATTATTTTTAAAGGCAAATCTGTCAACTGAATTTATATACTAAAGTTCTTTAGATATATTTTCTCTCTTTATTGGTCTACAAATATACTAATAAAGATAGGTTATACAGTTGTATGCCATTTAAAAACATCCATTTTAGGTGATATGATTGCATATTTGGTAAATTTGAGAGAATTTAATAAAAATACATCAGAAAGAATTGTAAGGTTGATTGGAGTATGTGATAAAAATATGTAAACATTATTCATATTTCTCTTATTTGTTCTCCTTTAGAATAGAAATGGTAAATATATTGCGTTCTCAGTAGCAGCATCAACAAAAGCTTATTCAGTTCTAGAACATAAAACATTATAAACAAATGGAAAGATATTCTTAATGTTCTTGATCATATTCTAATCAGAGTGTTCACTAGCTTAATTAGTTAATTGCTGTAGTGAAGCATTTTTGCTTTGGGGAATGAGGGGAGTTTGCAGGGTTTTATTTGTTTTGCTTGGAGAGATCACTGTCCAGGTATAGGTAAGAAAATAAGGAGAAAGAAGAATAGGAAATGTAGAGAAGAAGGTACCTCAGGTTGTAGCATTCCCCCAAAAGCTGCTGTACATAACCAAGACAGTGACCTGCGGCTCAGACTGTCCACTGCCTCAGCAATTAAGAGACTTGTGTTTTGGGCCATTCCGCGGGGTTTGTGGGATCTTAGTTGGCCCACCCAGGGATGGAACCTGGGCTCCAACAGTGAGAGCCTGTATTCCTCACCCCTGGACTGCCAGGCTCTGTCTTCTAACCATCCAGAGTGCAATCTCCAGAGTCACGTTTCCCAGTTACTTGTGTGACCTTGGACTTTTGTCTTTACTATTAGTAATATTAATAATAGAGTATTGTTTATTAACATAAATATTTGAAAATGCACGTATTACAATTGGATATCCATTGTCATTGTATTTTCACAAAGTGAACACAGATTTAAAAATATGGCATCAGCCATGGCCCTCCTGTGTATTCCCTTGCGTTCAGTCCCCATTATTCTCTTCCGTGAAGTTGATCAGTGTCCTGACTCCTTTTGTGACTGACCTGAGTCAGTGCAATGTTCCTGAGACTCAGTTGTGTAGTTGCAGGTTTGTATTCACTGCCGTGTAGTATTCCCTTGTGTAAATTCACAGTTATACTTTAGATGGTTATTGTTGCCCGACTCTGCACAGACCTCCAGCCCTGCATCCTCCCCTAGGTGTGAGTTCCTCCTTGTTACCATGGCAGCAGGCTGGAGCCAAAACCTAGAACATTCCTGAACAGTGCTTCCTTTGACATGAGTTCAGAGCACATTCATGCATCCACTTAAGTACACGCGTGCAGACGTGTACATAGGCATTACCTTCTCTTACCATTTGTTTCTTCTTTTCCAACATAGGAAATGTATGAAGTTGCCAAGAAACTCTGCTCTTTCTGTGAAGGTCTGGTCCATGATGAACATCTTCAGCACCAAGGCTGGGCTGCAATCATGGCCAATCTGGAAGATTGCTCAAATTCCTACCAAAAGCTGCTTTTCAAATTTGAAAGTATTTATTCAAATTATCTGCAATCCGTAGAAGACATCAAATTAAAACTTACTCAGTATGTTTGCCATTAAAATGGATAATAAGATGTTTGTTTAAAATACCTTTGCAGTTTATCAGTACTTTCAGTAACGGTCACTTCATTTCTAGTAGGCCACATATTTATTATAATTGAGGTTTATTTTTTTGAGACTTTTATAATGACTTTTATGGAGTGTAAAATTTGTAAAACTATGGTTAGTTTTATTCTCCACGTATTATATGGATTTACCACATTTTGTTTTCTTGTATTTTCTTTATGTAAAAGACTCTATACTTTGAAATTATTTAGAAACCCAAGAATCTTTGTTTCTTGCCTTGCTACCAATAAAATGAGGCAAAATGCAAATGAAAAGTTTTCAAATGCTAGTCAAAGAAAATTTTTTCTTTTTAAATATTGCCATATAATGTAGGCTTGCTAAGATGGAAAAGAGCCATTGTGTTCTAGTTCTCATTTAGATTCTTTTTTTTTTTTGGTTCTTTGCACGTAAGCATCTGATACCCATTGGTTCTTTTTTAAAAGAGCTATAATGAACGTAAAAAATACAGCAATAATTCCACACAAATGTAGCCCTTTGTTGTGTGTGTACATGAATGCTTTCAGTGTCTTGTATTCATTTTTTGTTTGGTTTTTCTTAAATTTTTTATTAGAGTTGGAGGGAAGTAGCATGTTCTTTTTTGAAATCAAGTGGGCCTTATTAATTCAGGTTTCTGTATTTTGTGGTATGAATATTTAGAACATTTTGGTCTTGAGATGACAGTGGGACACATCTTGGAAAGGAAGAGAGTGATTAAGACTGGAAAGAGCTTTTGAAAGATTTTGTAATAACCTTTTGAAGTAACTGTTCAGGGGTGCGAGGCAGGGGCTAGTTACTGTAGGAGCATGAATGATTTTAATATATTTTTATAACAGTTAAATCGTCAAAATTTCATCTTTCCTTCATGTTTTTTGACAACATGTATCTATCTGCGAGTTTGTCTACTTTCAAGGTGTGATAAATCCAAGAGTTAACCTTAATCTCTAATAAAACTGTTAATTTTATCCTCTGCTTTTATTATATCTCAAATGTTTGATTAGCTTAGAGACAAAACATTAAACTTTAAGGGACTGCTACAGTAAATCTTTATTATAAGTTTGACTTTTTTATACCTTAAGTTTAGTTAAAAACTGAGTGTCCATATGTATAGTGTGGCCTTGGTACCTTTACTTTAGAGGGTCTCAATGTGTAAAGGTACTCTCCTCTCTGCTTTCTTTAATGAACACCTCGTGGACTGCTCAGATGCATGTAGTCTAAGAGAGGGGGTGAGATTTCTGTGCAGTGATAACCTCTTCCTTTCCAAATGCTAACCTCGTAACTTGAATAGTCCCATGATTTACTGACAGGTCTTTTGTACTTTTAAGTTTAGGAACTGCGGTTTCAGTCATGGCCAAGATTCCGCTGTTGGAGTGCCTCACCAGACACAGTTACAGGGAATGTCTGGGGAGAGTGGATTCCTTGCCTGAACGCGAAGGCTCAGAAAAGGCTGAGACAAAGACCTCCACTGAACTGGTGCTCTCTTCTGATACACCTGCAGCAACGAGCAAACCCTCTTTAACCTCATTTCACTCGTCTGTGGAGCATGTAGCCCCAGACACCGCAGATGCTGAAAGTGGAAAAGATGTGAGGGAGCCTTGTCCAAGCCCTGCCCAGCAGGACGCAGCTGCAGTAGAGGCTAAAGAGGGGGACCTGCCTTTCTTTAATGTTTCTCTGTTAGACTGGATCAACGTGCAGGACAGGCCTAATGACGTCGAGTCCTTGGTCAGGAAGTGCTTTGATTCCATGAGCAGGGTGAGGAGTCTTAGTCTGATCTCTTGTGTCACTGTGTTGTTTTCGCCACTTGAAGTTACATTGCCTACACTAAGTATTTCCTGTACAGTAATGGGAGAAAGGGTGCCTTGAGCCTTGGAGTGAAACTTCATAACCACGTGTAGGACCTTGGACAAACCAAATCATTTAATGGATAATGAATACTTATGAAACTGACAGCAAATTTGGAAAGATTACTAGAGGTTGTGTAGGTAAAATCTCTATGCAGGGCCGAGCCTTGAAGTGTCCACTCCAGTGGGGATGGTTTTGGTGGTGGTGGTGCTACTTAGAATTTTTTTCTTCATGGTCCTATAGTATCACTTGGACTTTTTTTTAATATCTCCTGTAATTTGTCTTTGCAGCTATGCTGCAGATATAATTTTGCTTATATCTTTAATAGTTAAATTGTTTTACACCAAAAATGATTTACATTCAGTGAAATACACAAGTCTTGAGTGGTTAGGAACCAGCTTCCAAAGGAGGACAACACTGTTCTACCTCCTAGAAAACCCCGTGGGCCTCTTTCTAATCGGGCCCCCACCCCACCCCACCCTAGCAACTGGCCTCTGATGTTTAAAAGAAGTAATTTTGGATTCACCTGAGATATTTTAAAAGTCAGAACTTAGACATTGTTGTTTTACTTGTATTTTGTAATCATAGTGACTTGTGCTTAGGGTTATGCTCTCCCCAAGTACAGTTATAAAAGCTTTTAAACTTGGGGAGTAAATCTGGAATAAAGCTCTTCAGACCTGATCAGTAAGTGGTAGAAAATCTTGGCTGCCTGAGAGGAAGTTGGTGGGGCACGTGTGTCAGTGGGACGGACCACATGAAACAGTGCATACAGGTGAACTTCTCAGTTGGACAGAGGCTTGGTCTGTGGCTGGCTGTTGGGAGAAAGGCCACACGGGTCTGGGTCCCTGGAAACAGCAGCATTCTGTTCTTGCTGAAGGCGGAGTGCAATCTGAGTCGTCATTCTCTCAGTACCCGCGTCCTTGATGATGTCCTGTGGGCGTGGCTTTCATTTTGACCGTTTATTATTTGTTGTCAAAGAAAGCTTCAGTTAAGACGTTTGCCAGGGTAGAGAAGTGTGGAATTTATTATGCAAAGATTACTGCCAGAAATGAATGAAAGCTAGTGTTCTATTCAAACTATTGACATTTTAGTAGCCTGAAAATTCCATTTATGTTTGTGGAAAATCAGTCATGTGCTTGTGATAGAATGATTGAAGTGTCATTTTTTATAGTTTTACATAAGTCAGAGAACAGGCCTCTAGGCCATGGGAGCCTCTTTTTAACAGGTGGCTGTGTGTTTGCATGTCTGAATAAAATCTAGCAAAGCCTCAAGTTTTATTCACTTTATATGACAAGGGAGAAGAAACAGTAATCCTTGTCTGGCTTGATGAAAATTCACATTCATTTACATCCACAGAGTTGAACGAGTCTTAAGACACTTATATTCGTCTGTATATTGTGTTGTTCTCTCAGTGAGTTATGAAATACAGGAACATCGTAACCAGCAGTATATGGTCTGGAATTTTTTCTTCCTTAAGCATTGCTGTTATATGTGTCATAATTTTGCCCAAGATGAAATCTGTTTTAGTCATCTTCTATAGCCTTTTGTCACCCTAATAATTTATAGCTAGTCAGTACTTTGGATATGTGTGCACTGGACTCACCATGAAGATAGCAAGTGTTCACATATGCACACAGTTAGCTGTCGTACAAGGCAGATGCCTCCCATGTTAAATAAGGGCTGTTGACATCTTCATGATCTTAGAAGTGCAGCTGCTTATGACTACACTGAATTCTCGGTAGCTGTAGAATAGTTCATTTTTAATTGCTTCCATGTGTTGTCAGCGTGCTGAACACTGTACCAAAAATAAATAATTTATGGTCCCTTAGCCGGTGGTGTTCAGGGAAGATGTGTTTGACTGTACTGCTCACAGTCAGCAGAGGTGGGCTTCAGTAGCTGGTTGGGCAGTCAGCATGAACAGAGACCTAGCTGGAGAAACTCAGGATTCATTCATCTGCAGTTCTGTGTCTCTGGGCAGAAGGAAGCCATTTAGGAACTTGAGCAGAGGACAACTCTAATGAGTCAGTGATCGTGGCCGATGTCCACGTGGAGATGCTAGCAGGCAGGCAGAAACATGGATTGGACACTGTGGGAAGATAAAGGGTTGAAAAAGGTTGAGAGTTACCTTATTCTGGTTACAGTCACTGCTGAAACCCTGTGAGAAGCAGTAGAAATGGGCCACCGCACAGAACCCTCCGGGATTGCCTGTTTTTGGAGGAGGCGGAAGAGGAGCAGGGTCCCGCGGAGGTGACACTGAAACTGGAGGAGGTGGTCTCCGGTGGGCCACACGTGAGCCCCGAGAGCAGCCAGTGTAGGGCCGTCTGCATGGAAAACACCAGTGTTCACTGTTCTGAGGGGAGAGGAGCAGGTGGAGAGAAATGTTTGGGTTCCTGAATTACATAAATTCCTGGAAACTTGGAGGATTAAAGTCCAGCAACAGGAGAAATTACACAGCAAGAGAGTGTAGAGATGAAACAAGATTGCTGGAGGAGTGCAAACTGAAAATACTGCCAAGGGGAGGGAGGTTTGAAGATGTTGATATGTTTTAGGGAGGAGGTTGGGTTGATTAGACAGGTAATGACCAAAGAATATGTTTTTGTTACTAATTTTGCTCTACTTCATAAGACCTTGAAAATAGAATTTTCGCTGGGGCTGTTGAGAATTGAATGAATTGTGGCTTGAGTTGAAAGGTGTATGCCTGGAACTTGATTGCTTCTTAAATATCCCAATATAATCAGTAATAATTGTGTTTTTGTAATATTGTAATTACCCGTTCTTGACCTTATAGAAATATAATCTTGATTTCTCATGTTTCCACTTTTCTATAATCTTCACTTTTTTTTTTAAAGATGTGTATCAAAATAGTGTGAAATGTATTTTAAGCTCTTGGCTGAAAATTTCATTCATATTTCCATGTCACTCAGCTTGATCCCCGGATCATTCGACCCTTTATGGCAGAATGCCGTCAGACTATTGCCAATCTCGATAATCAGAACATGAAAGCCATCAAGGGCCTGGAGGACAGGCTGTACGCCCTGGACCAGATGATTGCCAGCTGTGGCCGACTGGTCAACGAGCAGAAAGAACTCGCTCAGGTGCTTACTGCAGACCTCTCTCAGGAAAGGGGATTTGTGGTTTCTAGACTAGTCTTTTATATGCATTGTTTGTTTGCTGTGCCCTGTGTTTCCACGTCACCCATGAGTACTGTTAATGGTGGTATTACTGGTTCTGGTAGAACAGGAGGCGGCCGGTTCCTCATGTTCAGAGGTTTGAGCTGAGGCTGCACTGAGCGGTAGGGAGCCCTGCACACGCCGACGGCCCCTGTCCGTGATCCCTGAGCACCTCCTGCTCCCGCTTCAGGAAAATGGGGAGCCTTAGGAGATCTAGTTCAATGCCGTGTTCCAAGAAATCAGGTAAAGAATCCGCCTGCAATGTGGGAGACTGATCCCTGCGTTGGGAAGATCCCCTGGAGAAGGGAAAGGCTACCCGCTGCAGTATTCTGGCCTGGAGATTTCCATGGACTGTATAGTCCATGGGGTCGCAGAGTCAGACATGACTAAGCTACTTTCACTTCCAGGAACTCTGATACCAGATTAGATTTATAACCATGAGAAGGTGGTGGGATTGTGGAGAGTGACTGACCTGGAAGTTTTCCCCATGTGGTGACGTTCTGTAATTTTTAAACATGATTGAAATATTTATGTTTTTATAGTTTATGGACTGAATTGATCTTGTAACTACCAGATTCTCTTTTTCTGTCCCTTAATTTTGGATCCAGCCGCCTTAACTGATTTCTTCATCTTGTGTTTGCACTGAATGGGTCCCCACCCCACCACCCCCTCCCAGTGCAGTGCTGAGAGTTGATAGATGTTACACTGGCCGTCCTTGGTTATTTCCTGGTCTGTGGGAAATGGTTGACATTTCCCCATTACAGCGTTTGTGGTGGTTTTTTTTTTTTTCTTCCCTTGTTTTATTAGAAAGCCGTGTAAGTTTAAGGAAGGTACATTCTATTTCTAATCTTGGATCATCCTTGGATTCTTGGAATAAGTTCATCGTGGTCAAAATATATTGTCTTTTTAATGTATTAGCAGTCTTCCCTTTAAATGATACATTTATCTTTGATGTATTAAAGTCTATCATACATTAAAAATGGGCTTCCCTGGTGACTCAGATGGTACAGAATCCGTCTGTAATGTGGGAGACCTGGGTTTGATCCCTGGGTTGGGAAGATCCCCTGGAGAAGGGAAAAGCTACCCACTCCAGTATTCTGGCCTGGAGAATCCCCATGGAGCTTGGCAGGCTACAGTTCATGGGGTCTCAAAGAGTCAGACATGACTGAGCAACTTACACTACTTTTCTCCAGTAAAGTATTCTTTAGTATTTCCAGCTTGTGGTAAATTCAGTTTTTGTCATTGGAAAATCCTTTGTTTCTCAAGGATATTTTCTCTTGATAGGGAATTTTAGGCTATTAGTGATTCACTTGTAGCTGTTTGCCTTTGGTTTGGTTTTTAGCAGTTTGTGACGTGGTGAGTTGTGGGTTTCTTTGTATTTCTCCTGCGTTGAGCTTGCACTCCATGGATTGTGGATTGATGTAGTATTTTCCTTGGATTCAGTAAAATGTATTGAAAACCTCTTAAGATTTTATCAAAGGAGATTAAAGCAGTAAGTTTTTTTTTTGTACTAAATTACAGAAAAAGCATAACCACAGTTAATCTTGCAACATATTGGAAGAAAAATAAAGTATAACATTATTATTATTAAAATTGTCTTGTTTTCAGATAATTGAACCATCTTGACTTTAACAAATCATTTAAACCTAAATTTATGTTCATGGTGTTTAGAAAAATGTGAAACAGTGAAGAGAGAGAACTACAGAAAGAAGCTACGTGTGCTGTACTAGCTTGAGCCCTACAAATGCAATTGATGGTGTACGGTGGCAGGTGTGATAATAACATGGATGTACACACCCCGAAACTTCCCTAACATGTTAACTGTTCAGTAAATAGAACAGGAAGAAAGCTGTCACTGCAGTGACTCATCAAGATGTCTCTTCAAGATGTCTTTAGACTTATTTTTTTTTTTAATTGTTTGCTGTTGGATTTGACACATGTGTCTGAATTAATCTACAGCCTAAGCACAATCCTTACCTAACAAAAAGATGCAAGGCTCACTTGTGAAAATAAATAAGGATAGCTAAGAAAAGAGTCTAATCATTATTTTTCATAATACTGTGGAAATCATTGTTCTGAAGACATGCACACAGGTCAGTGGAATAAAGTACAACAGCCCAGGATTATTGGAGTGGGGAATAGCTTTTCAGTGAGTGATGCAGTCAACTGATTGTTACTTTATTGGGAGAAGTGTATACTGTTGATATCACTGATTAGATTAAATCTGTTGTGAAGTCAGTGACCCTGTGAGACTTCCCTTGCGCTCTGACTGCACAGCAGCCTAGCAGGGGTTTACCGTCATTGGTTCTGGTTCTCATCTGCCTGCTGTGTCCTTGGACAGGTTGCTTTATCTTCCTGAATCTCTCTCTCTCTCTTTTATTTTTTAAGCATGAAAATTGAACAGAATTAGATGAGCATAAATTTCTTAAAAACTCTGAATCTTTTGCTATGGACACATCTACTACATAAGAGATTTTAAAATATTATTTGAAAGGAGAACAGTTTGTGTCTAATATGAAGCTTTTCCTCTTAAACGAATATTCCTGTTTTTAATGAAAGTTAATATCCTTTAAAATGTTTTCTCTCAAAGGGATTTTTAGCTAATCAGATGAGAGCCGAAAACTTGAAGGATGCATCTGTGCTACCTGATTTGTGCCTGAGTCATGCAAATCAGTTGATGATTATGTTGCAAAACCATAGAAAGCTGTTGGACATTAAACAGAAGTGCACCACTGCCAAACAGGAGCTCGCAAATAACCTTCACGTCAGACTCAAGTAAGTGGTTCTCAGGCAGCTGGTTTGGGGTGTTGAGAGTTGACACTTTGTATTTCTCCCAAGTGATAGTGTGATTTTATTACCATGCTGACATACTTTGTTGGTTGACAACCATGGGCACGGATGGTTTTTCAGAGTCTGTGTGTCTTGATTTCATTCTGCAGGTGGTGTTGCTTTGTGATGCTCCACGCTGATCAGGATGGAGAGAAGTTGCAGGCTTTGCTCCGCCTGGTTATCGAGCTGTTAGAGAGAGTCAAGATAGTAGAAGCTCTGAGCACAGTTCCTCAGATGTACTGCTTAGCTGTTGTCGAGGTTGTCAGGAGAAAAATGTTCATAAAACACTACAGGGAGGTACGCAGGCTGAACTCTATTTACTGTGTCTGGGCCTCAGTGAGTTGGTGCTGATGCTAACACGTGCTCTCCTTTCCTCAGTGGGCCGGTGCTTTAGTCAAGGACGGAAAGCAATTATATGAGGCTGAGAAGTCAAAAAGGGAATCCTTTGGGAAATTATTTAGTAAGTGTTTTTTATTAATAACTTACATTTTTTTAAGAAAAAGTGCTGGTTTTATTTTGTAGCTATGAGTGCATTATGCAGCCGGAGTTGTAGAGTAACTGCATGTTAATCTCTTTACACAGGGAAGTCTTTTCTAAGAAATCGTCTGTTCAGGGGATTGGACTCCTGGCCCCCATCCTTTTGTGTACGTATTTATTTTCTAACATGACTAAATCCTGTGTGTTCAGACCTTTATTTCAGAAGTGGAGATATTTATCAGAAACAAATTTTTAATCAAAATAACAGTGTTTTTGACTCTAAGATGAATTCATAGTTTTTGGTCAGGAGTCCTCTCTGCTCAGAACGGTGACGTCATAGGACACTGCTGAGATGGGTGGGAATGGAGTCTCTCCCCCTCACTGGGTCTGTTTCCCTCCTCCTCTCCTTCCCCCGCTTCCCTTTCATTCATGTTGGACAATCCCCAATCAGGTCATCTTCATCAAAGCCATGAAAAATAGGTCCCTGTATTTCTAAACCAGAATGAGACCACTAATTTTATTACATGAAAAAAACCAAAAAACAATTCCGTGGTCAAATAAGTTTTGGAAATGCTGTCTGTTTTCTCCTCACACGCGTGTTTTCTCTTCACACATGCTGTTTCACGGTCATGTGTGTTTCATGCTACAGAATTCCTTAGGGCTTATAGACATTGTGTTTTTGTGTGTCTGCAAACAGTCAGGGTTTCCTACACACACGCCTTTACTGGGGAACCCTGCATAAGTCATGACTAAGGCCATGGCCTTGTCTTAAAAGCTGCATTTCTCAGCAATAATAAAAAGAATGGTAGGTGATTTTTTTTTTTTTAAGAAGCTGCAATTGACTAAGATTTCATACTTTGGAAAATGTAACAAAAAGTTGGAGAAAAGGCTATGGAAGGAAGTTTTACATCAGAAAGAAAGTCTTTTGCCTTAAAACAGCACCACACACCAGTGGTGACAAAAGTAGATGGAGGGCCAGCGTGGGCCTCAGGACTGGGCTGACCGAGCGGTCGGTCAGGTGGAAATTTGGGAATAGCCTGTGGTAGCGAGACAGGTGGCTTCCTTTAATGTAGGTGGGAACAGCAGCATTCCTGTGAAAAGATGGTGAGAGCAGAGAAGAGAAGGGAGCAAGCCCAGAATCCCTGTTGTTTCAGACTCGGGAGATGGTCTCTTCATTGAGCAGTCCTTCATTTGTAGTTGATTATCTTATTCTGTTTCTATGGGATGAATAGATCATTTGAAGCATTTTTAATTATTTATTGTATTATATAGTAAGAAATACAGTATTTATAACAAGAAATATAGTAAGTATAGTCAATACATAGTAAGAAATCATATACAAAATTATCCTGTATATTTTTGGTAATTTTTTTATATATAGACACAGAAGCCTCGAAAGTTTGACTGTGAACTTCCAGATATTTCATTAAAAGATTTACAGTTTCTGCAATCATTTTGTCCTTCTGAAGTTCAGCCATTCCTCAGGTAAAGGCCTGTAGTTCCCACCTTGGGATGTTCTTGCTGCCCTGGGTGGTGGGAAGAGCACCAGTGCTCGCAGGGAACTCCAGAACAGAGGAGGATTTCATGGTGGGCTGGTTCTTCCATGGCTGCTTTGGGAAGCTTGCAGGCAATATAAAGATGATTAGAAAATAAAGATCAGAAAATGAAGACGGTAAAGTAGAAGAAAATTAATGCCTTACATGAAATTAGTTTTTTCTGATAGTAATCTGTGTTGTTGTGTGGTATGTGTTAGTCTTCTTAAACTTGTTTGGTATTGATTGATAGAGGATGGTTAGTCATTTTGGGCACAGATTACAATATTTGGTTGTAGTTATCTCTTTATCATTAAGAAATCAGAAGTCTAATTTGGTTGCGCTCTGTTTCAGGGTTCCCTTACTTTGTGACTTTGAACCTCTCCACCAGCATGTACTTGCTCTGCATAATTTGGTAAAGGCAGCACAAAGTTTGGATGAAATGTCACAGACCATTACAGACCTGCTGAGTGAACAAAAGGCAAATCCAGTTCTTTGCAGTGGTTCGCCCCGTTAGCATGCATGCCTATGGTGTCGCAGCTCGGTCAGCCTGTCCCTCTCTCTTCCAGGCCTCTGCGAGTCAGACGTCCCCGCAGTCAGCTTCCTCGCCCCGGCTGGAAAGCGCGACAGGAATCACAACCACTACCTCACCCAGGACACCACCTCCACTCGCCGTGCAGGATCCCCTGTGTCCTGCGGTCTGCCCCTTAGAGGAGCTGTCGCCAGACAGCATTGACGCCCACACGTTCGACTTTGAGACTATCCCCCATCCAAATATAGAGCATACTCTCCACCAGGCCTCCTTAGACTTGGATTCACTAGCAGAAAGTCCTGAGTCGGACTTTATGTCTGCAGTGAACGAGTTTGTCATAGAGGAGCAGCTATCGTCTCCAAACCCCATCAGTGACCCGCAGAGCCCGGAGATGATGGTGGAGTCCCTCTACTCCTCTGTCATCAACGCCATCGACAGCAGACGGATGCAGGACACCAGTGCCCCCAGTCAGGAGGATCTGGGCGACCACGCGTCCCTCAGCGTCCAGCTGGGGAGGTGCCGCACGTCTGCCCACGACTCGCACCTCAGCATTCAGACCCTGAAGGAGGACTTCTGCCACTTCCGGACGTTCGTGCAGAAGGAACAGTGTGACTTTGCCAATTCCTTGCAGTGTACAGCAGTAGAAATAAGAAGCATTATCGACAAAGTAAAGCACTCTTTGGAAATAACACTACATGAAAAACATCAAAAAGAACTAGAGTCTTTAAAAAGCGAGTATGAGGGCAGGCTTGCTACTCTGGTGAAGGAGAGTGAAGAGAACAAGAGTAAGATCACCAAGCTGCGGGGGGACCTGGTGTGCCTGGAGGAGGTGCTGCAGAATAAGGACAATGAGTTCGCTCTGGTCAAGCATGAGAAGGAAGCCGTCATCTGCCTGCAGAAAGAGAAGGACCAGAAGCTGCTCGAGATGGAGCGCACGGTGCACACCCAGCACTGTGAGATGGAAGCCCTGCGGCAGTCGCGCGAGGTTGCACTGGAGGACTTGAAGAAGCTCCACGTGGAGAATGATGAGAAGCTCCAGCTACTGCGGGCAGAGCTCCAGCGCCTGGAGCAGAGTCATCTGAAGGAGCTGGAGGACACACTACATGGCCGTCACACACAGGAGTTGGAGAAGGCCATGAGCGAGCACAGGCTCTGCTTGGAGAAACTAGAAATGGAAAACCAGCAGAGGATTGAGCAGATCCAAGATTCTCATGCTGCAGTCATCCAAGAGAAGGAGCAGCAGCTCCAGGAGTTAAAGCTCAAGGTTTCGGATTTGTCGGACACGAGATGTAAGTTAGAGGTGGAGCTGGCTCTGAAGGAAGCAGAAACTGACGAGATAAAAATGTTGCTGGAAGAAAGCAGAGCCCAGGAGAAGAAGACCTTGCAGTCTGTCTTCGAAAAAGAGACTGAACAGCTGAGAGCAGAGATCAGTAAACTAAACCAAAAGATTCACGACAATAATGAAAATTATCAGGTGGGCTTGGCAGAGCTGAGAACTTTAATGACAGTTGAAAAAGATCAGTGCATTTCCGAGTTAATTAGTAGACATGAAGAAGAATCTGATAGGCTTACAACTGATTTGAACAAAATGACATCATTGTATCAGCAAGCATTTGAAATAGAAAAAGGCCTGAAAGAAGAATTAGCTGAACTGCAGAGTAAATTGGACATAGAATTGAGTGCTCTTGAAAAACAAAAAGATGAGAAAATCTCCCAGCAAGAGGATATGTACAAAGCTATTATCCAGAAGCTAGAGAAAGACAAAGAAGAATTTGTCATGAGACAGGAACGGGACCGAGATCAGCTAGTTCAGAGGCTTAATTGTGAAAGAGAAGCTGCTATTGAGACTACCAGAAAAGAAATGCACTTGGAAAGAGAAGCTGTTGAGAAAGACTTGTTAGAGAAAGTTAAACATCTTGAGAGTCAATTAGCAAAAAGGTAAGAAAGAACTTCAGTCTGTAATCATAAAATTACAGTCTGGTGATTCAAATTTTAATTGTGTGTGTAATCACAGTACCTTAATTTCCTCATTTACCTTAGGTAAAAGTAACCATTGAGATATTTGTGAAGTAAAGATGTCCTTTTTAAAGTAGTCCGTGTTACTTAAAAACATTTGAAAGGAATAACACTGTAAATCCACTGGGATGGCCTCTAAAAATGGATTTGTATTTTGGATTTCAAGAGAAATCAGTTTTGAAAATTTCAAATGTTTTCAGGATCTTTTTTTCCTCTTTTAATATATAAATTTCCTTTTGGTTTATTTGTAGTTTGTTCCCTAAATTTTTCATTTGAAAGTTACTGATTTTCATTCTTTTAAAATCATGTATGTATGTATGTATAAAAGAGCAGTAGTTAGGAACGTCTAGGTTGCGACTCGCTTCCTGGTTGTTATTTTCTGATATTACAATCTCAGTTATTGCCTCTGTGATTCAAAAGATAATGTTAAATTCTGGGTTTTATACAGTGGTGGGGTTTTTTGCCTTTTTATTATTCTTGCTGCCTGATGTTATTGCCTTTGATCAGAGAAAATGGTCTTTGGTATTTCTACTCATTAAAATATATTGAGGGGGTTTGTGGCCTAATAAACAATTTCGAGAGCATTATTAGTTGGTTCTATCGTTAATTCTTCCAAGAGAATATCTGTATAGGTGTATGTGCTTTATGTATTTAACCTCCAGCCGCTTCTTATCACTTTTACGCAGTCTCTTGTGATTGACTATCTGCTGTATACTGTTCATATCCTGGTGTACAGTTGAATCTCAAAGTCCATTTTGAAAACAGAAGCTCTTTATGTTTTCTGGAGGGATTGGAGGCTCTTAGAGGAACTGGACCGCTTGAGTGTCCCCAGAGCCTGGGGGATGCAGAGGTCGAGGCAGTCACCACAGAAGGCCAGGGAGGCTGGCGGCACCAGGGTCCTCCAGGGGCCAGTGAAGAGTATGGTGCACAGTGTTCGGTCAGAGATTGTGGTCCTCGTGGGGTACTGCCCAGACACTGCACTCCCTCTCATCCTACCCTTCCTCATCGTGCTTTGGAGTCCTCTGAGAATCCTCTGGACACTGGGCCCTCCTGCAGGCTCGCCATGGCTGCCGTGGGGGAACGGAAGCCCCTCCATACCTGCCCAGTGCTGTCGGGACTCGTGTGGACCCCACCTTGTGTCCACTGTGTCACCCAAGTGTCCTAGCTCCAGAAGTGAGGCTGTGTCCACTTTATGGTAACTGAGGAGACCATGGCAGGGGTCAGTCTCCACAGACCAGGTACAAGCCTGAAGCCAGGTTCCCTGCTTCAGAATCTGAAGGGCCTCAACCATGGTTCTCCCGTAGGACTTGACAAAGCTCCGTTCAGTGTCCATTTTGGCAGAGCAGCCGCACGGGTATGGGCTGTTGGTGGTGGGGTGGTCGGGGGAGTGGTGGGGTGGGGGTGGGGTGGGTAAATGCTCCCACAGCAGGGGGTGTACAGGTATTCAGGGGAGGAGCTGGAGCAGCAACTCAAATATGCTCTGTCCTGCCTCTGGGTCTCAGAAATCCTCACCCTTACCTTGGACAGGCCGTCCCGTGTGCCTGAACTGCTGTATACCTAGAAATCTTGTTGTACTGACAGGCTGTGGGTTCTCATGGCTCACGCCCCTGAAAGCTCACCCACTGTGTCTTGCCCTGATAGCTCAAGTAGTTGATTCCTTTTTTTTTCTTTAATTTTAAAAATTAATTTATTTTTGGCCATGCCAGCACATGTGGGATCTTAGTTCCCTGATCAAGGATCAAACCTATGCTCCCTACTTTGGAAGCATGGAGTTTTAACCACTGGATTGCCAGGGACTTACTTTGTTTTTAACTTTAAAAAATTTATTTCATTGACACATAGTTGAAGTATAATCTGAAGCCCCATGGCTCAGACCATAAAGAATCTGTCTGCAGTGTTGGGAAGATCTCCTGGAGAGGGGTTGGCTACCCACTCCAGTATTCTTGCCTGGAGAATTCCATGGATAGAGGAGCCTGGTGGGCTGCAGTCCACAGAGTCACAAAGAGTCGGACACAATGAACATTTTAATAGTTGATGTACGTCGTTATCCTAATTTCTGCTCTGTGGAAAAGTGGTGCAGTTAAACATGTGTATATTCTTCTCCATTAAGGCGTATCCCAGGATATTGAATAGAGTTCCCTGTACAACAGGACCTTGTTGCTTCTTCATCTTATATGTTACAGTAGTCCATTTAGGCTTTTGTGACCTGCCTCCCCCTCGCCTCTAACCTCATTCTCTTCCCTCTGCCCTGTCTACTTGCCTGGAACTTGGCTTTTTGTTTTCTCCACAATAGTTGACTTACCCTGTAACTGTAGGCGTGTCACTTCCCTGCACGAAGTAGACATGAAGCAGACAGTATGAAGAGATGCTCATATGTAAGCCCTGCGTATGGCTCATTTTATCCCAAGTCCGTTTTCTTAGTGAGCAAAGTCCCTGGCTCCATCCTGGTTCCTCAGTGACCTTGAAATGATGCTGCCTGTGATTTTTAATCCACCCCCTCCCCAGCCCCAAAGGAGAAACTTGGAAAAACATTGAAGTGTCCTTTTAAATTGAATAAATGTACATTTAAAACCCTCCATTGACTTGGTTGCTAGGATAGTGTGAGAATGTTCACACAACAGTCTTCCTCTTGAGCTGGGGATATTTTAACACCTTGGATGAGAGTATCTACTTCTTGACAAGCAGTTCTGATGTAGAGGATTGTGAGGTTGAAAGCAGATAAAATAACCAGCAGCCTGGGCTTTGTGCTTTCTCGCTGACCTCGCCTCTCAGCCCCTCAGCACCCCTTGGAGGTGAGCAAGTTCTGAGAGAAGTGAATCTGAATTCAGGCATATGTCAGTTTGCTATGTGTACACATTTAAGTTTCGCTTTAGTTTAAGGTTATTTATTCATTAACTAACAAAATGAACCAAAGCCTGTTTAAAGAATGAAAGCTCTTCAACAGATGTGTTCTGCAGATGTATTTTTATTCAACTCTCAGTCCTTTGGCAGTTACAAGGAAGGTAAAACTAGAATTTGAAGCTGAGCTCTTGAAGTATATTGATTTTTATATTGAAAATGTTGCCTTTTGCTGTAGAAACTGATTATCTTAAATATCGGATAAACCACTCAACCACACTGCTGGGAGTATGTGATCTGTATTAGGCTTTTCCCTGGCACTTATTTCTCTTTTGTTGGTGGATAAAAAACGAGAGTTGACATAGAAAGATCTTTTGACACCAGTCAACTACTGTTAGGTTAAAGGAAGATGTTTAGCATTTCTGGTGTCGTCTAATTATGATATTTGGTATACTTGTGATTATATCTGTAATACTGGGGAAAAAATATAATACTCTATTTAATTTTTAAAGTCATGCCATGGAATCTGCCAGAGAAGATTCTTCAAGCCTAGTTGCTGAACTTCAAGAAAAGCTCCAGGAAGAAAAAGCTAAGTTTCTAGAACAACTTGAAGAGCAGGAGAAAAGGAAGAATGAGGAGATGCAGAATGTTAGAACATCTTTGATCGCTGAGCAGCAGGTGTGTGGACTCCTGGACTGAGAAGGTTAACAAGTGTGTCTGTGTAGTTGAGGTTTTTGCTGTCTTAAGTGTGACTTTTCCTACATTGATCCTGGTGGTATTTGCAAAGTATCTTCTTCATATTTAAAAGCATTTTCTTTTTAACAGTCATTATTTCACATGAGTACTTCAAAAAGGAAACAGTTCTAGTTTAGAAATGAAGAAATGTAAATTCTGTTCCTGACTTCTTAGCTTCCTCCCTGATCTTGTCAAAATCATTAATGTTTTCACATCACATTAATTTTTGCAAATGAAAGTGTTGATAGTACTACATAGATAATATTTGAATTTTTTTCTCTAAGCTGTGAAATTTTTTTCTCCATTGTGTGCTGTTAATTCTTATCCATGTGATGAGCTGGCATTTTTATTTAAAATGTCACCTTGTGAATGATACTTTTCTTCTCCATGTCGAGACGTACCACCAGAAATAGATGTAGTGTGTTTTTTGTGTCCGTCACTGCCCTGTGCATGCAGATCATGTGAGTGGTTCTCGTTCTGTTGTTCCAGACCAATTTTAACACCGTTTTAACAAGAGAGAAAATGAGGAAAGAAAACATAATCAATGATCTCAGTGATAAGCTCAAGAGCACAATGCAGCAGCAGGAGCGGGACAAAGGTGAGTGGGCCTCAGGAGTGCAGCATCTTTGGCTCTGACGGATGCGCACTGTGGGTAACTGTCCCCACCCCCGGCTGCAGATCTGATCGAGTCCCTGTCTGAGGACCGTGCGCGCCTACTGGAAGAGAAGAAGCGACTGGAAGAGGAGGTTAGCCGGCTGCGGGGCGGTGCCTTTGTGCCCTCCCCGGGCATGGCCGCAGCCCCAGAGTTGTACGGGGCCTGTGCTCCTGAGCCCCCGGTGGAGGCCCTGGACACCCTTGGTGAGGGGAGGCCAGACTCAGCCATGGAGACTAGCACGATGTCTGTCCAGTGAGTGCCCCGTCCTCCTGTTCAGGCATGGCCAGCCAGCACTGAGGGTGGGAGGGCTGGGCAGCTCTAGTGGTGACCGCAGCCCACGGACTCGGGAGCTCGACCCGGTGGATTGGTTATAGCACAGGCTGTGTTACCATTACTAGTTATCTGTGGGAGCCCATATGGGCGTGTTTCACAGGGTGCCTTGGTGTCCCTGCAGTATCCACAGGTAGTCAGGAAGGGCTGCCGGACTGGTGTCTGCAGGGGTTCCGGGGTTGAGCCCATTGCCTCGGGGAGCAGGGGTTACCAGAGGCTCAGGTGTATTCATGGGGCTGAGGCCGTGGTGGATGGAGTGGTCACTTACAGGTAAAATCTGAAATGAAAGTCATATAGGTAGAAGTGGAGAAGGAGGAGCGTGGTTTCCCCAGGGCTGTGGGTGCAGGGAGGAGGTAGTCATGTGAGGTGAGTGGGTGTGGATTAGTGTTGCACAGTACACGTGTCTCAGACAACCTCATTGTGCACTCTAAGTATGTTACAGTTTTATTTGTCAGTATGGCTAAAGTAAGTCATTTTCTCTTAGAGAAAACGTACACGTGCTCTCTGAAGAAAGACAGCGGATAATGCTGTTGGAACGAGTAAGTGCGTTTTGTCCGTGTTGAAGCATATTGGGTAAGACCTTCACTCTGGATTGCAGTGAAGCGACCTTACAGGAGAACAGACTATATGTGTTTATATATTAGATCTTTTTAATGGTTATTTTGTGGTTATTTTTGAGAAGCTCTGTCATCTCTGATCCTAGTGGCTGGTAACAGTTCAGGATTCAGCAACACAGTTTAAGTGTGAATTCCACATATTAATTTTCAAAAACTAAGTATTAAGTGTTTTCCAAAATTGGGCAAAAATAGACTATGTGAATAATGAAGAAAAGTTAGGTTTTTTATAGGGACTGATTGAGGTGAAGAGAAAAAAATGGCAATAGGGGTTTCTTCTTAGTTGCAGACTTGCCTTTCTTTGTTCATAGAGCACTTTTCATTGCTTAGGCTTTGAAGATTTTTAACAGTTTCTTTTGCTCTCCACAAGATAACTGTCTGAGGATTCGGAGTCTGAACTGTGCAGACGTGTGCCCTCGCTGCTCGGGTCTCTCCCCTTTGCTCTTGTTAGTGAAGGGTCATCACGTCTGCTTGCCTGTGTGTGTAACTGTGGGTCCCACCTCCTGGGCCCCACCTCCTAACACAGCCTTTGGGGACAGATCTAGATAGTGTGTATTTGCAAGTCCTCGAGGGCTTCTAATGCAGATTAAGCTTTGAGAACACCTAACATAAGGAAGTATACCTAAAAATTATTCAATTTGCCTTTTATGCCGGTAAATAAAACAGTTGGAGAGACTCTAGAAAAGAATGTCCCCAAGATCTTTTTATACTAGAGATTAGCGTTAGTCCATTGTGTTTGGATTTGAGTATTTATGAGCATAAACCATGGTGTCTCTTTCTCTTCTCTGCAGACACTACAGTTGAAAGAAGAAGAAAACAAGCGGTTAAATCAGAGACTGGTAAGGTTTCTCACCCAGTTGATCTTGACATTTAAACTGTTTGTGTCACATTTCATTATGAAGATCAGAAGGTTGTGTGGTTTGATTAATTCATTCCTGGTAGGTTTTGTTGACTAATCAGTTTTACAAGTCAGTCTTACATGCTTTAATAAAGCAGTTGCTTCATTTTTCATATGCTAATGATTAGGATTTATGAGGCAATGGGAGCAGTTTGAGGCCTGTGTTCAATACCTTAAGGCACTGATTAGAGTGGAGTTATTTTAAAGTAAAGTGTCTTGTATGGAGGCATTCAGTTTCTTGCATGTGCCTGTCTTAACTCGAGCAGCGAAATTTCCACATTACTTCCATAACTGCTAAACCGTCAGTCCTGAACTTATGACCACAGCAGCTTTCAGGCTATCTGCTGTCTGTGTGCGTGAAGCAGATCCTTTCAGGAAGAGATGCAGAAGTTGCTGCCACAGCGGCTCCCCATGTGCTCTGGGCTGCGTCCCTGGGGGAGGAGACTCTTGCCTGCAGGGCGTCGTCACTGTGTCCTCTGCGCTCCCAGAGCAGTGGGCAGTGCACAGGACACTGTAGGTGCTGTTCAGTGTTTAAGACGGAAGGCCATTTATCTGTTCTTGGTTTGCGTGACTAGAGTTGGGCCACTCTGCTTGGGAGGGTTAGATGTCCCTGCCATCCTTTCTGGCCCCCAGACCTGGGAACCCACGTGCCCTGTATCAAGTAACAGTGTGAGAAGTGGGCTGAAGCCCGACTGAGACCAGTTAGCCCCGTCCGCTCCCACCTAGATGCTTGCAGGGAAGGATGATAGGCAGGCCCTTCCTGGGCTGCTGCTTGCTCAGAATTGTGGGCTATAAACTCTTATTGAAATCATCAGCTCCTTCCTTCTGATATTTGTTAGGGTTAAGTATCTGTTTATTGATAAAATAATTCTATATCCAGTTTTTAATCCAGCCAAATTTGATTAAGAGTAGCATAAGTAGAAGTATAGGTAAATTTGTACACTGAGAGTAACTGTTAAAGGAAAGGCATTACATTAATGAAGCATGGGAGTTTGGGCCCTGAAAGCTTGGACACAGACGTGACCACGCATCATAGTGGAAGGAGTGTTTGCAGTCAGGCCTAGAAAGTGCCCGGAGAGAGCACATGATTCATGTAAGCTTTTGAACTGTTCTCTTCCAGATGTCTCAGAGCATGTCTTCCGTATCCTCAAGGCATTCTGAGAAGATAGCCATTAGAGAGTAAGTATTGTGTGTGTTTATTTTTTTCCTGTGAAAAAAAAAATTGCCGAATTGAAAAGTACTGAATTGTTCATGAAAATGTGTTTCAGTGACTATAACCCTTCAACCTCAGTTTCAGTCAACAGAGTGTTATACATTCATTTGTAATATTTTTTTAATTGAAAAGCAAGGTTTTCCTGTATTATTTTGGGGACGCTGTTGTGCTCAGTCATGTCTGACTCTTCTTGACCCCTTGGACTGTAGCCCACCAGGCTCCTCTGTCCATGGGCTTTCCCAAGACAAGAATATTGGATTCCTTCTCCAGGGGATCATCCCCACCCAGGCATCGAACCTGGGTCTCCAGTGTCTCCTGCATTGGGATTTGGGGACATTGGGATTGTACCTAGCTTCAGTTGTCACTTACATTGCATTTCTGAAGCCTCTTCAGTTGCTGCCACCTCTTTTAAACCCTTTTACCACCTTCATCTTTTTCATTTTAGATTGGAGACTCTTGATTTTTTTAAGTTGCAGTGTTTCTTCCTCTTTATTTCTCGGACTTTGTTTTATTGATGTGCTACACATCAATAATGCACTGCTTATTAGCACTGACTTAAAAAATAAACAAGACTTTCTGTTTTGTCTGTAATAGATCTGTTAACCAAATGTCTGGATTACTGACATTAAACTCAGTGATTTGAAAGGGCTGGGTGTATCTGTCTTTTCCCTGCCAGCCGTATGTCAAGTCAAATCAGCTTACAGTCTTTCAAAAATGAGAGAGATGAGCTGAAAACAAAAATGCCATCTCCGAGAAGCCCACCTTCCCATTTGAGGTGTTGTCTTCTGCTGTTTGTCCTGAACATGTCTGGTCCTATTCTTTTAGGCAGGCAGTTAATTGTGAGATAAACAGTTAATGAAGGAAAGACTGTTATCTTTGTAGAGTTTCCCTAGTGATGTTAATGATTTATCAGGTTCAGGACCACTATTGTCTGAGATCCAAATTAATTTTGAACTGGTATTTCGAAGATAATTCTGAAGGACCCTGAGGAGACAGACAGACGCCATCTGAAACCCCAGGCCATCATACCTGGTCTCCTTACTGCCTCTCCTCCCAGACTGAGGGGACTTTCCTCAGAGCCTGGAGCAGCACTGTTGGACGAGTTAGCGCTTCCCTCCTCACCGTGACTACTCGTTTGTGCCCCCTATTTGTGTGCCTTGTTGTAAAATACTAGGTTTGGATGAGTACCTTCTTCCTGTAACTAGGTGAACTTGGGTATTTTTTTTCCTCCTCACCCAAGCCGTGTGTGCGTGTGTGTGTGTGTGTGTGTGTGGTTGTTCTCTTAACCAGTGTTGGTCTCTGACAGTTGCTGGTGTTACCGTTTGAACATATGTGTATGTCCAGCACTGCGTGAGCAGTCATGTAGCTGAGACACCTGCTGTTGCATTGATAACTAAACGTTGGTTGGGCCCTGCAGCGTCCACAAGCAGACCGTTGAGGTGGGGTGGTGGTGGCTTCTGGGTGATTGAAGCTGCTCCTCTGCTCAGTTTCCAGGTGGGCGACCTGGTGCTCATCATCCTGGACGAGCGCCACGACAACTACGTGCTCTTCACCGTGAGCCCCACCCTCTACTTCCTGCACGCGGAGTCCCTGCCCGCCCTGGACCTCAGGCCGGGAGAGGGCGGTAAGTGTCACACTGAGACATAAACCCAGTGTGTGCTGTCTGATTGTGTCAGAGTTACACAGGCAAGAGAGAGCTCTGCTTCCATCTGCTTTCTTGTTTGTTTTTATTTGGTTTGCATTATCCAGATTATTTTACTGGATTCTGTTGACAGTTAAGCCTGAGTGCAGCTAACGCAGTCAGGTCGGTTATCTCATACCCTGGTGACAGCAGGATTGTACTGTTAAAATGTTCATACCTATGTAAGCTTGACTACAACGTGCTCATTTGTTTATAAGGGCACTCCTTGTTTTGGTGAAAATAAATTCTTTTAAATTATAGAATGTCTCTTCTGTGCAACATATCATTCTGTGTTTCTACCTTGTTTTTCATTATTAAACTTGTCACTACTTTCATTTTCTTTTCAAAGCAATGAGCTTTGTTAAAATATACCAAGTTGCGGTTAGTATATTACAATTATCTGGTACATTGGCCTTTAAAAGAACTCAAAAAAGAGCATAATAGACACCCTGGAATACTTTGCCTAAATAGAAAGACTGTATCCATTTGGTTTGATCTTTCTGTTTGGCCTGGAGAATTCCATGGACAGTATAGTCTGTGGAGTGCTTACTGGGCCTTAGAATAGGTTTGCCACGTCCTGTGGCCCAGGGGTTTGTTGTCCATGGTGGTGTCTGTGTGTGTGTTTCTGATGGTTTATTCAGGAGATCTGGTAATTTACGTCTTGCCAAGTAATATTTATAGAATAAAATCAGTTTTATCTTCTCTTGGGAATTTCAGAGGTTTTACTCTAAACAGATAAATTATTGGTCAAATACTTTAGGAATCAACTTTTTAATGACAACTTCTGGTGAATTTTAAAAGAGAATTAGCATGTGTCTCTCAGCTTGTGACATGGGTTTTTTCATCCCGTCTCCTTCCACATTTTTCTCCTTCCCTTCAAAAAAGTAGTCCCTTTGATATTCTTTCATTCTTAGGTATTTATTTTGCACTGACTGTTTGCATTGTGGTGCCAAAAATAAAAATGCAGTGCTTTGCTTTGAATCTAGAAAATCAGCTTTGCGCTTGTTTTCAGCAGCAGAACAGGTCATGTGTCTGCACTTACAGTAGGTGGCACTGCTGAGCTGCTTAGAATACCTGGATTTATTTGTTCCTGATTTGTACTCTGATTGTTTGCTTCTGATTTACTTACCATCTGCACTTAAAGTAAAATGAATCCAGTTTTGTTTTATAAGTCATTTTGCATTTCTGTGATTTCACTTGGAAGAAGGTCCTTAGTCTGTTTTGATTCTGGCAGTTTTGTTTTTATGAGTAACTATAATCGTACTTTCAAAAAGAAATTAATGATTTGATTCCATAGCTTCAGGTGCATCTCGAAGACCGTGGGTCCTTGGAAAAGTGATGGAAAAGGAGTACTGCCAGGCCAAAAAGGTAAGCTTCATGGTGGGATGCAGACCCGGGAGTTGGAAGAAGGTTCTCTGGCTGTGTCATGTAGAAGTCAGGTGCAATGCTAGTCCTGGCCTTTTAGTTCACTTGAGTCAGGCCTTGAATTTCATGAATGTGCATTTTCACCAGCAGTTTTATGAATATTTGTGTTACTTGCCTTCTGAAAATAGAGCTAGATTACCAACAAACTGTCAACCTGTCCAGGAAAACTGCAGCAAGTTACTGTTCTGTGTTGAGTTGCTGGAGCTTCTTGTGCAGTAAAGGAGCTGGTGATGAATCCATCTGCTGGCAGAGCTGATGCGTCCTGACTCTCAGTGCCCCCCCCCCCCCCCCCCCCCCACTGAGGAGAGACAAGTGAAGTGTTGCCGGCTCAGGATGCGCCTGACTGTGATGTTGGCAGTGTCGGTGTTGAGGGCTCAGTGACCTCCAGTGAGCAGCTTCCCCACCCTCCTCTGTGCCCTGTGTACCAGCAGGACTTGAGCCCGGTGGTGCTGGACTTTCTCTGATGCTCATCATAATGACATACGGCTTACTTGGCACTGTACCTTTATCAGTGATCACTGACTCTTGCCTCAGTATTAGTGGCTGAGTCTCCACTCATATGGGGAGGAGGTGGACATCCTCTGATAAAGGACCCCCCCCCCCCCCAGTAATCTAGCCTTGAGTAGTGTGATGGATGGAACTTAGGCACTTTGATTTAATCACCCTTTTCTTTCTGTCTTAGGCACAAAACAGATTTAAAGTTCCTTTGGGGACAAAGTTTTACAGAGTGAAAGCTGTGTCCTGGAATAAGAAAGTGTAATTTGAGGAAGAAATTGAAACCTTCTGTGATGTTTCCTGGTTTGTCCAACAGTGCTCTTTCATCACTCCAAAAACAGCAGGCCATCTTTTTATATAAAAGTCAACAGGACAATGTACTTCATTGGTGTATATCATTTACTTTTTACCTGGCTACACTTTAGGAACAATAAATTCATCAAAACTCTGAGCTGAATTAAAATGGTTTTGTTTTTTTCTACCCAAGTAACTCTAGAAATGGGGACCAAACTAGTTCATTTTCTCAAAGGGCATACCCTGTGCATTGTGGCCTACGATAAGCCATGCTAATTGCCTGTTACATATACATTAGCTTGAATTTAGATAGTCCGTGTTAGTTACTGTACCAGCATTTGTCTTTTTGTGAAGCCAATATCAGAAGACTTGCACTCTTTAACACATTCTTTATAAAATGTATACATTCTTCAAGACTATTTAAAGAGAAGTGTTCCTGCATGCGGATAATCATGATTTTGTTTGCCTCTGTAGATTACTAAAGCAAATTGTTTCATTTATTTTTTTAAATGCCCTTTGATGTTTCAAAACAAAAAGGAACTCTAATTCAATTGACTGACTTTAAGATCAGGCATATCCACAGTCTTGAGAAGCACTTTGAGCAGATGGTCGCCTGGGTTCTCCAAGGAGGAGTGTGCTGGGGGTGGTCTCCAGGTAGCACACAGCCCCTCCCAACACTTTCGTACTCTGTTTAGAAGAATCATATCGACGAGGTCGTAATTCATGGTTCAGTTTCAGAAAAGCATATTCATTGTACATTAACCATTTAGAGGTCATTTAAATAACAAAATGTTGTATTGTAAAAGACATGTAGAATTTTAAAACAATAAAGATTTGAACCTGTAAGTGTGTGTGCCTTTTAAAGACGGAAACATTTTTAATATATTTGAGTGACTGCTGGGAAGTGTGAAAAACTTGTTCTGTATCATGTCAAAGAGAAACATGTTTATTACAAAAATGTTCTTTAACTGTATGCTATGTAACAGGGTCAAACAGCCTTCTGTAGAGTAGAATTGTGTAAACCCGGTCTTCAGATAAATGCCGCGAAGAGAGGCATTTAAGTGAGCTGCCTGAGTGGATTGAGATTTGTTTCAGGTTTGTTGCTAGAGAACAATAATAAAATGGCTTTTTTTCCCCAGAAAGTATTTAATTTCTTCATAAAAATAAGTTAAATATTTTTTTAAATATGTATATCTAATAGTACAGAAAATGGAATAAACACCATAGTGTATAGAAAACTGAATTTGACAACATATTAATGAATAAATGGACAAATGATTTCACGTTTCTCTTCAGTCCTTCCATTGCATCCTCACGCAGACAGCATCACCAGCAAAGAGCTCTGTGTAAGGGTGGGTCTTCTGAGCAGGTGTTCTTGGGTCTGAGTGAGTCTGCCCGATGGACTTTTTCAGATTTCAGAGTCATGCTGTGGAATGCAGGCTGAACCTGATCTCTCCTGAGTGGCGCTCTTTAATGTCAACTTTTGTTGCTTATCATTTTCCTTACATCCTATTCTATATCCATGCTGTCAGTGGTTACCTATGCCTTCATAAAGCAAACAGAAAGTATGGTTTTCTTAGTTACAAAGAAGAGAAATGAAGCCTATTGGGTTCTTAACTTTGGGTGGGTGAGGCCAGCCATGGCAACAGAGTGACTAAGCTTCTGTCCCAGGTCTGACTTTATCTGGGCAAGCTGCATAAACTCTGAACTCCAGTTTTCTCATGTATAAAGTGGTGTAATAATAAGACCTGCCTCAGAGGGTTGTTTTAGAAAATTAAGTGGTGACAATAATAAATGTAAAGGGCTTTGAACAATTTCAGATAAAAAGACTAAGTACTGAATAAACATTAGCTATTACAAAGATTTCTTTGTCTAGTCAGAACCTGCAAATTCACTATTCATACTCGAATAGAAATGTAGCTTTATTGTAAGAATGAAAGTTTAAGTCACATTTAAATGCCAGTATATTTTAAGCACTTAAGAATTAGGTGGATAGTTTTATTTTTGCAAAGGTACTTGGATATACTAACACCAGAATGAGCAAAAATTTACGCAAACTTATTTTTATTAAAAATCATCATGGTGTAAAACATGCAATGCTTTCCAAAAAAAAAAAAAAAATGCCCTTAAAGTGAAAAAAGTGAAAGTGTTAGTCGCTCACTCATGTCTGACTCTGTAGCCTGTCAGGCGAATCCTCTGTCCATGGGATTTCTCAGGCATGAATACTGGAGTGCGTTGCCATTCCCTTCTCCAGGAGATCCTCCTGACCTAAGGATCAAACCTGGATCTTCTGCATTCCAGACAGATTCTTTACTGTCAGACACTAGGGAAGCCCTTAAACCCCTGTCCTGTTTCCCAGCTTTGCCAGGTAAAGGTAATTTTACTTGTTTAACCACTTTTATGTGCTAAGCTATATGACTAAATTGGTATTTCTGGATAAAGCATTTTTATAATGTCAGTTTACTTTCTTATATGAAAGGAAGATTTAGTTATTTTACAAGAACCTTTTCTGCTCTCATTCTTATGTAGTACATTTTAGTTGGCTAGCATTTACATTATCATGACTTCTTTTTATTTATTTTATTTTTTTTCATTTATTTTTATTAGTTGGAGGCTAATTACTTTACATCATTGCAGTGGTTTTTGTCATACATTGAAATGAATTAGCCATGGATTTACATGTATTCCCCATCCCGGTCCCCCCTCCCACCTCCCTCTCCACCCGATCCCTCTGGGTCTTCCCAGTGCATCAGGCCCGAGCACTTGTCTCATGCACCCAACCTGGGCTGGTGATCTGTTTCACCCTAGATAATATACGTGTTTCGATGCTGTTCTCTTGAAACATCCCACCCTCGCCTTCTCCCAGAGTCCACAAGTCTGTTCTATACATCGGAGTCTCTTTCTGTTTTGCATATAGGGTTATCGTTACCATCTTTCTAAATTCCATATATATGTGTTAGTATACTGTATTGGTCTTTATCTTTCTGGCTTACTTTGCTCTGTATAATGGGCTCCAGTTTCATCCATCTCATTAGAACTGATTCAAATGAATTCTTTTTAATGGCTGAGTAATATTCCATGGTGTATATGTACCACAGCTTCCTTATCCATTCGTCTGCTGATGGGCATCTAGGTTGCTTCCATGTCCTGGCTATTATCAACAGTGCTGCGATGAACATTGGGGTGCACGTGTCTCTTTCAGATCTGGTTTCCTCGGTGTGTATGCCCAGAAGTGGGATTGCTGGGTCATATGGCAGTTCTATTTCCAGCTTTTTAAGAAATCTCCACACTGTTCTCCATAGTGGCTGTACTAGTTTGCATTCCCACCAACAGTGTACGAGGGTTCCCTTTTCTCCACACCCTCTCCAGCATGTATTGCTTGTAGACTTTTGGATAGCAGCCATCCTGACTGGCGTGAGATGGTACCTCGTTGTGGTTTTGAGTTGCATTTCTCTGATGATGAGTGATGCTGAGCATCTTTTCACGTGTTTGTTAATGACTTCTTTTTAAATAGCCACTCTAAGTGGGTGTTTGATGTGCCTGTGGGGAATTTCTGTGTTTTTGTTGAAGAAATACCAGTTCAAGCACTTTGTCCGTTTTTTTTTTCAGTTTTCTTTTTATTGAGTTCTAAGGGTTCTTCATATACTGGATTCTACATTTATATGATTTATAAATATTTTCTCCCATTTGGTAGGTCGTCTTGTCAGTTTCTTGAAAATCTCCTTTGATGCACAGCCGGAATGGCTCTGAAACCAGTTCTCACTTTGAGACTTTTGGGCTCTGGAGAAAGTGGAACCCACCACCACACCACCACCCCTTACAGGGCCTGAGTTGCCTGTATCTCTGTTAAACTGTTCCTGCAAAGAAACTACTTCTCTTATTTCATCTCTCTTCCCCTGCACAACTGAAGGAAACCGATGGACACTTGCAAACGTTTCTTGGAAAACTTTCCTAGCCAGAAACATGTGTTAGTTTTGCCAGTTATTTTGCTGCTAAAAGACCTAAGTCACCATCTTTACATCTTTCGTTCCAGTAGCAGTTTTTCTTTTCCAGCCTTCTCAGGCACTTCCCTGTTCTCCCAGCCTCATCAGGGGGCAGTGCCAGGTGCCCTGGATTTTCTTAGGCAGCACGTCACTCTGGCTGCTGGTAGCTGCGTCAAGTATTTGGTAACGGCTCACCCAGAACAGTGGCTGATGCTAACATTGATTTGCTTCACGTGGGTGTGCCCATCTGGCAACTCACCTTGGGTTGGGAGCTCCGTGACATTGCTCAGGTCATCCAGGTGCTTTGGTTCCTTATATGTCTTCTCAGAGTACCCTGGTTTCTGAGCAGTGGCCACAGAATTCCTAAAACTGGAAGGGGGCAGGCAGCAGAGTCAGAGGCTTAGAAGTCTTCACATCGCTTCTACCAGTCTTTTGGTCATCCTGAGTCTCTGAGCCAATCAACACAGGAGTAACTGCATAGATATATATAATATCCATGTATATGTGTATATATTTGATATATATGTATACATATATAAATATATATATGTGTGTGTGCGTGCACAGCTACTCCTGTGCTTCAAGTTGGGCCAATGACATATATATATATATATATATATATATTTTTTATATAGTCTTTAAAGCACCACATGTATGCTTTAAAAATAAGTATATATATAAGTAAGTATATATATACTTAAGTATAAAATACATATATATGTAACTATAAGTATAAATTCAAAGTATATACTTATAATTTATATATTTCAAAATTAGTATATAAATATATTTTATAATATACAAAATAATACATATATGCTTATATATATACACACTACAAAAATAAGTATATATATAAATATATATCCACATACATTAATAATAAATATATAGTGCTTAGTCACTCAGTCATGTCCGACTCTTTGTGACCCTTTGGACTGTAGCCTAGCAGGTTGCTCTGTCCATGGGATTTTCCAGGCAAGAACAT